GTCTTTGTAATTTGTCTCACGTCCAGCCGTGTGGTGCACGTGCCTGTTGCGCGTGCAGAAGACGCGTCCAGCTTCTCTCCCTCCCGTCTCCTTATACTCCGTACATCTCATTTCCATACACACCATTTGTGTTCACATAATACACATTGTGTCGTGTATGGGGGCCTGTATGGATATGACGCGCATAAATATATTTTTTGTAGTTAAATTTAGTTTAAAGCTCATTTCGAGATCCATATTTGAAGTTATTTATGGAAAATTTTCTAGGTATGGCTGAAACTCAATCAGTTCCTTAATCTATGACCTAACTAGTTTTTTGAATTTTGTATGATTGAAAATTAGAAGAAAAAAACAAAATCTCGTTTCTATTTAATTGTTGAATGACAAAAATACCTTTATTTCGATTATGTGCATTCTGGGTCGGTAGTTTGGCTCCCATGCCGGAGTTCTTTTAAAGGTGTCGGCGTTGGACGGTGGGAAGTGGCCAGACAGGGGGCAGCGGTTGGATGGCGGGGCGGCTGAGCGGGTGGGCGTTGGGAGGTTGTAGCTAGGGTTGTAGAAAGGAAGTGGGAGGTTAGGATTTTATAGGTAGAAGCTAAAGAGTATATTTTGTCCATAAAAAATACTTATTAATTAGTATTAATTACGAATTTTAATTAGATATTATGATATTAAATACGGAGTATTATTTTGGTAAAAAAACTTGTTAGGTCATAGATTGAGAAACTGATTTAGTTTTAGTCATACCTAGGAAATCTCTTTATTTTTCTTATAAATCAAGGACATAAGTAGAGCAGATGTTAGGGTGGGCTAAAAAAATCAGATATACGAGTACTTTTTTAGATAAATTCTACACATAAAATGTAATTTTCAAATTTGGGATAGGTGGGACTGATCAGGCTTATTCAGCCCCCCCCCCCCCCCCCCACCTCATGTGTTATAAGTCAATTTTATGACATAAAGTATGCCTAGAATTAGCCTCATCTATGTGTTCTTTTCTTTTAGGTGGAGGAACAATTACAAAGCGTCTGTTTAGTATGCTAAATTATATCATAATCACATAACTAAAGTTGTAGTTACTCTTCTAAATGAATTGATTGCAATTACTGTTGATACTTTTTAACTATTGTCATACATAATATGTAGTATAACTTTTTCTTTATTTTATTACAAAAATATACTACGTATTGAATATACAATTTGTTCATAATTCATGAGATTCAGCTAATTCAGATCAGTCACTTCAATTAAAAAAATCAATTTTAACAAATTTAACAATCGTAGTGTGTTACTAAACCAACTATCAGTCACATTACTATTACTATCACTATAAAAATTAGAAGATTGTTATTTTTGGCAATCCTTATTTCTTTCGTTTCAGTCTTCTGGTTCCAACAGTTCAGTTTTGTCATTTAAGATAACTTTTTCAGCGAAAATCAAATGAAAATGTTACAGATATACGGAGTGATAAGTGGTTAGAGATACCGAGAGTAGGGCTGGAACTTTGGAACCAAGAACTGGAGAACCGAACCGGATCGAACCGTTATGACCCGGTTTGGTTCTCGGTTTCTGAAAAAAATATGCACCAGGAACCGTTAAGGAACCGTTATACGGAGTATATAATATTTAAAATTATATATATTTATTATGAGTATATATGTTTTAATGTATATTTACTTATTTATTTTTTATGTTACATTCAATATTTTAGATTAGTTATTTAACTACTTAAAACTATGAATCACTTCAATCAATTTTCTTAGGCTTCTTAGGCCTCTCATTAGGTCCAAACTCCAACGGGTCGGAACTCGGAATGTTCAAAGTATTTAAAATTATTATTCTTTTTAACTAGTTCAACATTTCTATTGTAATTTCAAACGTTGAAAGTCTTTTTGACAAAAATTTAGTCGGGATTTGTAAGAATTTTTTCAAAAACTAGGAACCGTTAAATGACAAGAACCGAATACGGAGCAGTTAAGAACGGTTCGGTTCCGTATCGGTTCTATAAAATAATTTATAAAAACTGAACCATTAGTAAAATTTCATATTTTTAAACGGTTCCACATATTTTGCCTAGGAATCGAACTAGTCCCAGGTCTAACTGAGAGTAACATAACATACTCCGTATAATCGAATGCTTAAAACAAAAAATGGAACTTTCCTCGCTTTTGGCCGGCATTCTCACTTAACCAGTTTTCATACACTTCGTATTTTTCATTATTATCTACTCCGTACTACGTAATAATCAACTGAAAGTTAATCGCCAGCTAAGCTAATCATGATTCACGTTCTTTTCACTGGAATCCCGGGAAAAAAATAAGGATAAAAAGTAAAGAACAGTTGTTTTTTCTGGTGATTTTACTTTGAAAAATATAATTAAAATGTATGGTTCAACTTTTTATTGTATACTACTCCGTACGTGTCTATGTATGGTTGGAGATGAGAATGATTATAAGGTGTTAGATTTGAGAGTTGAGTATTATGTGAAATAGTGCATTATCATCAATCACAAAATACAATGACACTTGTGTAAATAAACTAAACTTTCCATGCACAATTGAACTTTGTATTATTTTAACTTTACCTAGCACCACCATGAATCATATTTTGCATTATTTCGGATCAATCTCATTTTTCAGAGGAAAAAATAACAACAGTAACAGTTATTGTGCTAGTAAGAGTAACACGCAGTAACACACTTTGGATTAGATCACAGTTCCAATCCCAATTATATTAAAATTCATGTCATTTCCAATTATATAAAATTACTAGTGACATTAAAATCACTAACAATACCAATTACCAACCCTATGGGATCACACTAACTCTGCCACTGAATGCACATGAGTAATTAATCAATGACGAAATTGACACAAATGATTTCTAGCATTTTACAAAAATAATAGCTACTCAAAAAGTTCACAATAATAATTTAACTAGTTAATTATTTCACAAAAATGAATCGAGAGTTAACGGTGTCGCCTTTTCCGTTTAGTTTTTTTTTGGAGAAATTAACACCAATACTCCCTACTTTACGTATTTACAAAAATAATTCCTATTAGAATCAAAATTGCAAATAATAATCCCAACTACTTAATTATTTATAAAAAATACTGGGAGCTAACGGTGTTAACTTTTGTATTAATATTATTTAAGATTTTAAATACAATGAAGCAAAAAGAATAAGTATTAACAATTTTTTTTAGTTTAACCTCATTTATACTGTTAATTTAATTTAATATTCAATATTTTTCATAATTTTTAATAGAATTTTAAATTAAATATTGTTTCAAAGTTGAAATATTTCTAATAGATTTTATAGAGGTTTCAAATTAAAGTAGAAATATTTCAATTAAAATTTATGCAAAACGTTGAATATTAAATTCAATTTATAGTACAAATAAGATTAAACTCAAATAAAATATTGTTAATGCTTATTTATATTTTTTCTTTGTTATCCTTAAAATTTAAAAACATATTAACTCAAAAGTTAACATTGTTAGTCCCCGGTTTATTTTTGTGAAACAGTTAACTAGCTGGAATAATTGTTGTGAACTTTTTTGTTGTGGATATTTTTGTAAAATACATATGTAAAAGCAGGGACTATTGACGTTAATTTCACCGAAAGACTAAATGAAAAAGTTCACATCGTTAACTTCCGATTTATTTTGGTGAAACGATTAGCTTGTCGTGAACTTTTCCAGTAGAAATTATTTTTGTAAAATGTGTAAATGTAAGGATCATTGGTGTTGGTTTCACAAAAATCAATTTAACTCGCCCCCTCTCTTATACGTAGTACTTTTTTTAATAAACGCCCCCTCTCTTATACTCCGTATAAAAAAAGGCTCTTGTTTAAATGTTCTCAAAAACCATTCCAAATACTCGTAATACAACTGAGGATTGTTTTAACCTTCTGTATAATTCAAACATTTGCAGGACATATTTTACATTCGTACACTATCAACAACCGAGACTTTACCAACTTGTAAACACATCAGTGCTTACTTCATCCTGAATTGAGTACACTATGATAAAATACTACATTGGCCGAAAAATGATACTCCAAGGGGAAATATACTAGAGAATCTTTTTACCTCACTCTTATATAACAATCAATCCTCTTTAATGCAACTCCTTTAATGCAACTCCGTAAAATAAGAAATGTACTCCGTATCAGGCATGGCCTCGGTTCGGGCCGCCCGGCCCGGGACCGGCCCGACCCGCTACTGTGCGGGCCCGGCCCGGCCCGGTTATCTGGGTCCGGGTCCGGTTCGGGCCGGAGGCCCGGGGGTGGGGCGGTTCCGGGCTCGGTTCATGGTTTTGACGGCCCGGCCCGGCCGGTTCGGGCCCGGGTCCGGGCCAAATCTATTTTTTTTTTTTTAATTTTTTTCATTTGTTTTGGGCTGTTGGGTTTGGACTATCTGTTTAGGCCGGTTTGGGGGGGTTTGGGGGGTGGGGGGTGGGGGGGGTGGGGGAAGAAAGGAAAAAAAACAAAATTAAACCGGGTGACCCGACCGGCCCGGCCCGGTCCGGCCCGGAACCGGTGGCCACCGGTTCGGGCTCGGGCCCAACAAAACAGACCCGAGGCCCGGCCGGGCCTAGGCCCGAACCGGGCCCGAACCGGTCCGGGTCCATCAATGCTCCGTATAGGAATATTTGCGGTGGAGGTTTGTATGTATATGTGTGTAATAAACAGTGTACATTACAAAAGTCAAAGAAAAAGCCATCACATTGCCTTCCTTCCGGATGTTCAGACCCCGTTTGGTAATACCAAAATCGGCTGATTCAATTGATGTTTACGAAATTTCAGTTGAAGTGGCTAAATTGGTTGATTTTGTTGATTTATGAAAAAATTATATTTAAAATATATTTTATTAATAAAGATAAAAAATACGAAGTATGTAAAATAGATAAAATGGTCTTTTACGGTAACTTTAGCCAATAAAACTAGAAAAATAACTTTAATCTTACCTTTTCATATTATTCAACAATTCTGCGCGCAAAATTGAAAGATACATATTTGGTGAAAAAGTTGGCTAATAAGTTTGATAAACCGAAAAATAAGATTACAAACGGGTTCTCATTTTCTACATTCCCCTCGTACTTCAGCAACTTCTAGAGCACTAAGGATTGGGAACTATCAAGTCCCTCAGAAGTTTTTGAGATTAACTATAAAATTAATGCACTATATTGTATAAATATTTGTAACAAAAAAGCGAGTTTGTGTTGAAAATTAAGAGTAGAATTTGTAGTCCTTGACTTGTAAGATGATATTCCGTAGCCCGCCAATAGGTGCCAAAACCATCAATAGAACTCCCAGAATAATGCAGATCTGCAATCAATGAGCGGGCATGAATGATGAATGAATTCATAACCGAAGCCTTGATTTAGGGTCAAATTACTAGTGCACATACCCAATTTGTGATCCAAGAAAGACTGTATTTCTTCGGCTTGCAAACGGCTAGCCACATCACACATGGGACCTGCAAAACACAGGCTAACATTATAATGCATGGTATCCTATAATTATATACTTCGTACTATATATTTATATACTCCCTCCATCCATTTTACATTGTCAACTTTCCTTTTTTGGTTTCTTATTAAAGCAACTAATTTGTGGGTCTGCACATTTTTCTCTCCTCTAAACAAACCTCAACCACACAGTTTTTTGGACCGGGTATACCAGCCATATGGCTCAATACTATCCTAGTGAAACGAAGAGTACGGTGTGTGACTATGTGCATTGCAGCAGCTGCAGCTTACGAAGTATGTTGTCGGGGCAGAAGCAAATCCTCCAACAAATCCAATCAGCCTACCAAAGAAAGGAAATGCCACTCCAATAAACATTGTGATTGCTGCAACCACGAATTAATTAAGGTTAATTAACTGTACAACTCAACTAGTTGAGGTTATTATTCAGAATGTGTCCGGACTCCAGAGTGGAATTTGTCCTACGTACCCACGTATATGTTCCTGGTAATGAAACGCAGTTGCCAAGATATCTTGAACTTCAGTTTCTTAACCAGTAACGACTCCAGCATGTCAAAGACGGGCATCGCATAGATCTGCCGCATGAAAATAGGCACAAAAAGGATTGATGTTGCTTGATGCAGTTAACGAATAAGTAGACAATGAGAGTGTATATACAGTGTTGTTACCTGATAACTTCCAATGACATGAACAACAACAAAGAGGTTGGCCATAGCAACGAGCCAGGTAGGCTTCTGCAAGGACATCAGAATGTTGTCTTCCACTACATTTCCAAACACCCAGTAGCCGATGAAGGCAACGGGGAAGTAGCACAAGGCCACAACGATATAAGCAACAAGCACACCCTTCCACATGGGTCCCTTGGATGGGGTTTCAGATGTGGAAGGGATACTGGCTTGAATCTCCAACACCACGTTGTGACCTGCAAAAGCAAAAGCCACATCACCCAACCCACTTAGGAAGTTGAAAACAGTGCCGCTAGTGGTCGAAGCTATGTAGCTGTAATCCACATTCGGTTGCACGCCCCTGTCTACGGAAGCCCCCCAAGCAATAGTCGAGTAACTCAATGACATAACTGCTGCTGCTAGAGACACCCCGAAGATGGAGTTAAAGTTGGGGAGGTGGGAGAGGATGAAGTGGACAGAACCGAAGATCATGATGAAGTAGGAGACTTTGATGTCTTTGCAGTCTTTGCAAACCAAGTCATGGAACTTCTTAAGGGATTTTCCTCCAGTAACCATGTACACGATATCCACTGCGACCATAACCACCAGCTGTTGTGGAACGACGATCCATAGTCCCAACTTTTCACCAAAAGCGTGCTGCCCGAGCTCATGGTATCTGTCAAAACGCTTTCCTGGAACCATCTCGTGCATCTGAACCATTTGCCACAATGTGTATAGAGTGATTATCCATGACATCACCATCATGGCCACACCAGGTCCCCTGAAATTTATTAATGATTATTACTTCCTCAATCAACATATCTAGGTGGTTCCAAATCGAACCGTAACAAGAGCTAAACAAGAGGTTTCTGGTTTCAAATTTTCGGCAACCAGAACTGAATCAATCCTAAATCAATTCTAGAACCAAAGAACCCTTAAGAACCAAAGAGCCCTTGTCTCACGGTTCCTGTTAAAAAATGAGAGTTCCTGTTCTGGTATAAATGGAACCCATGAACAGGTCTACCTCCTCATATTATGACGCCTAAAACAGTTCACAAGAAATTGACAGTAGATAAACTTAATTCTCTCCTAATGGAGGCCAACTAGGGATCGGAAAGTATGATTCTTTATGTAGTCTTATTTTTATACATTCACTTATGTGTAATGTGTAGAAATAGAGAGGCATACCATCCGAGCTGAGACATGGCATAAGGAAGGCCGAGGACACCAGCACCAACCATGGCAGTAACATTGTGGAAAGCGGAATACCACCATTTGGCATTCCTTGAAGAGGTCATCGGGAGCCAGGCATTAATTGCTATCTCCTCTGCAGTTAGTTGAAAGGTCGGCACCTGTATGTCAATAAGAATTAGTTAACACAAACTCAGGCAATGCAGCTAGATCTGATGAAGAAATGATAGTATCTTATATGAATTGCAAAGATAATCGAGACAGACAAATCGATGACTGTGGAAAATTTAGGAAGCATATAATTAGTTATACATCACGCACAGGCTTGACGATGCCGGTGAGCTTGGAGACGTCCGTAGCCATCGTTTTATCTGAGAATCCGATCGAATCTTTCTGCCCCATGTATATCAATGAAAATTAGTTAAACACAAACTCATGCAATGCAGCAAGATCTGGTGAAGAAATAATACTCCGTAGCATCTTATACGAATTGCAATGATGATCGAGACAGACGAATCAGTTACTATGGAAACTTTAGGAAGCACAAAAGTATACATCACGTACAGGCTGGAAGCTGCTGGTGAGGTCGACGCCGTATTTAGCCATCATTGTAGCTGTGAATCCGATCCGGTCTTCCTGCTTAGTTATTGTCTCTGCCTCACTGCCTTCACTCGGTGCGGTTTTAATGGCCGCGGCAGCCGCGCCTTTACCTGTGGCAGTCATTTTGAACAGAGTTGTAATTTTCCCGGCAAAACGAGCAAGGACAGAGAGGGCCTTAAATAAAACGAATCATGAGTTAAATGGGCGCCGGAGATGGAGAAAATGAAGAGGGTGAGATGGTAATCGTTTTAGCTTTGTTGACTTAACTCCAAAAGTCTCTTGACTTACACCTGGATCCCGTTTTAGTGCATGTCCCGTTTTTACACTTGCACACTTACACCTGGATCCCGTTTTTACCTACTCCGTAAATATCTACGTTAGGACTGATGTATTTTGTACTCCCTCCCTATTTACCTGGATCCCGTATAAAATCTTGATAAAAATTTGATACTTCCTCGTTCACTATTCATTAGTCAACTTAGGTCATTCATAATCTTTTACTTTATATATCAAATTTTTATCAAATTGAACTTTTCTTGATCAGGCTTTGAAGCGGTTTTAATGTAGTTTCTGAATATGTAAATTTTATTTACTAAAAATAAGCGGAGTGTGAACAGGGATCGAGTTGCTTTATCGTCCGTCAAACATCGTAAACCGAACGGGAACATTCCAACGGGACGAAGGTAGTATATAAATTACTCTGTAAGAGATTAAGGGAGTGTTTTCCTTTGCTTAAAAAAGTGCTTTGGAGCTTTTAGATTTAAAAAAAGCCAAAAAAGTGTTTGGTAATCCTAACTTTTGCTTAAAAAAAGTGCTTTAAAGTCAAAATCTAAAAGCTAGAGCATACCAACTTCTAATAGCTTCTAGGTAAACTTGTAATTACCTCCAACTTTATGACTAATAATAATGGCAAATAAATCCCCTAACCCCCCAATTTTATTCGTATATCCTACCCTATGTCCCAAAGTTTGAAGGGTGATTTTGTACTTTTGAAAAAATTATTCCATCATAATCACTTTTTTTTATCAAACACTCCAACTTTTACATTTTAATTAAAATCACTTCTATTCTCAAACACTACCAACTTTTACTACAAATCACTTTTCCAATAATCTATTAAAAAAATCACTTTTAAAAAGCACAAGCAATCGCAAACACTCCCTAAGAGTGATTTGTTTTGATCATGTGAATAGGAAATGTATTTCACAAAATGGGACTGAGGGAGTAATTTATTGTTATTTTGATTTCTTTTTATTTCAGTTTTTTTTATTATTTTTATTCTCCTTTTTCTTCCTTTTTTCTCTTTTTCGTCATCTTAGATGTCATTTTTTCTTTGTTCCTTACTTCCTTTTCCCATCGGTTTGTGACTTGTTGTTTTTTTTTTCTTCTTACTTTTCTCCCTTTTAGCTAATTTTTTATCACATCTATCCATTTTTCTGTAAAGAGCATCTGTCATTTTTTCCTTTTTTTTTTCTTTTCCCTGATATTCTAATTTTTCTTCATATTTTTTATTTTATTTTTTCACAAAGAGTTCTTCCCATGATTGATCGAATTAATGGGTGAACTTACTTAGAAAAATACTAAGTTGCAATAAGGAGAAGCAATATATTGATTGTGGAATCAAGATACTAAGAAGAAGAAAGACAAAAGAAGAAAAAACTCAAAAACTAACAAGATGAAAAAGGAGAGAAACTGGAAATAAAAAAAAAATATAAAAAGTAGAATGGAAAAAAGATTTTTTATAAAAAGAGAATAATTAAGAAGAGAAATACATAAAGGGAAAAGAATATAATATGAGAAGAAGAAGAAGAAAATGGTAAAAGTATTTGTCCTTTAAGGGAATTAAGTTTACATATAGGGGTGGAGGTAGAGGTATGTGTTAATCAACGAGGCCTTGGCCCCTTCCAACTGTTTTATTTCACTAATTTTTACCTAGTAAAATTTTTAGGCATATTACAGCATATTTTATATGTATCCAAACTACTTCTCAAACTATAATTGCATTATTACTTGCTTAAATGATAGCTCAGTGGCTTCGTATGTCTATCGCAAATGGAATTTCAATGGAGTGTGATGGTAGATTGGTAGTAATTAGTATAGAGTAACAATTCTCCAATCGCCTCATGATGAAATGATTTGTTTGTAATTTACTTTATTTTCTTTTTCTTTGCGGTGTGCAAAAACAATGCTTCGGAGTACTGGACACGAAAAGTAACCCGACATTACACAGATTAAGGAGGTGTTTACTTCGCTGCTAAAGTCACATTTAGTAAGACATGTGAACTAAACACGCAAATTATTTAAAAAACTGCTTACTGATCAAAAGAGGTGCTTAAAGTGCCGCTTACTAAGCATATCACTTTTCCATGTATTAATTAAGCGGTCACTTTAAGCTTTTTCAGTTTTCGAATTTACCCTTACACTTACCTCTTGCCTTTACCCTATTGTTACTTTTCTACCCGCTACCCCGCTACCCACCCACCCCTACTCTTACCCCCTGCCTACCCCGATCCCTTCCTCCACCCCACCCCACTTGTATCCCTTTACACTACCCTGCCCCTTTACCCCTATCACCTGCCCCCACCCTGACCCCCACTCGTATCCCATTACCCTTCCCCGACCTTACCCCTTTACCCCTACCACCTGCCCCACCCCCTAACCCTCACTCATCTTACCCACCTAACCCTACCTCTGACCCCTTACTCACGACCACCCACTTGTACCCCTTTACTCTACCTAGGCCTGTCAATGGGTCGGGTCTAGACCCGGACCCGACCCGGACCCGGTTGTTTTTAACGGGTATGGGTCCTTATTTTATTCCGTTTACCTGGACCCGAACCCGGACCCGTTAGTACTTTTAATAAACGGGTTGAGTATGGTACATATTATTCCGACCCGTTAAGGACCCGGACCCGTTTAAAATTTCTTATTAGTGTATATATATATATATATACCCACACACACACACACACACTAATACATAAAGAGCCCGTTTGGAGACCTCTGTTTTCGGCTTATCAGGCTTATCAACCAGCTTTTTCACCAAACACGTAACTTTTACTTTCGCTCGCTGAATTGTGTAATAAGCCGAAAAAGTAAGGTTGAAGTTACTTTTCTGGCTGTATTGGCTGAAGTTACTGTAGATGACCATTTTAGCTATTTTTACATATAATTTTTTCTTTATTTTATTAATAAAATATATTTTTAAAGTATTTTTTTCTTAAATCAGCAGAATCAGCCAAAACAGCCACTTCAGCCAAAATATCATAAATTTCAGCAGAATCAGCCAAAACAGCCAATTTTGGTGCTACCAAACGGGCTCAAAGAGATTAGTTATAATACTTCAAATAAAAATACAAACTAATATACGAGTATATAAAGTGACTAGTAGTACAAATTAATACATACCCAATGTTTAAGTGATAATATAATAGTATATAATATGCTTTTAGTCCAACAGAACATTTTGTGACCTAATTTCTAGTCTAATATACGAGTTTTCTGTGGAAGAGAAAGAGACACAAAGTGCGATCTTTTTAGACACAAAGTCCTAACATTTTGTGCACTTTAATTTACATTTCATATACATGTTTTGCTATTTTTAAAAAATTATATAATGTTGTGCATATGATACTTGGCGGGTCTACCCGACCCGATTCCGAGACCCGTTGGGTCCGGGTCCGGGTCCTAATTTTTAGACCCGCGGGGTAAACGGGTCGGGTCCGGGTCCTTTGTTTACTTAGCGGGTCCGGGTCTGGAACACTATGTTCCGGCCCGGACCCGACCCATTGACAGGTCTAACTCTACCCCAATCCTATCCCTTTAACCTCTACCACCTGCCCCTACCTTGACCCCAAGCCTACCCCACCCCTACCCCACCCCCACCCCTAGACCTTACCACCATAACCCCCGACCATATCATTATCCTACCCCCACCCCCTTACCTACCCTACCCTTCACCCCCTACCACCTTCCCCTACCTCGACCCCACACTCGACTTACCCCACCCCCACCCGTAGCTCTTACCATTACCCTTTTATCCCATACCACCTGCCCCTACCTCAAACCCTCCCCTACGGTAAGGAGTTAGGGGTATGGATATGAGGGGAGTAGGGGTAGATGGTGTTAGGGTAGGGGTAGGGGTGGAGGGATGGGGGTATAAGCGGGGTAGCGTTAGGGGTATGGGTACGCGTACGAGGTGAGCCCCACATATTATCTTATATACTTGTGTTCATGAATGTTTGTGTGTCTATATATGTATATGGTTATTTTGTACATTTTAATGTTAAATGGTGTTTTGAATCCTTTGAAGTAAACATGAGAATATAACACCGCTTATTTTATGCTCCGCTTATTAGCACGAGTCTTAATAAGCACTGTTTAGTAACCTGTGAAGTAAATATGTCCTAACTAAACTGCGGATTCCTCGATCCCGATTTTTTCTCTCCCTATCATTGGGATTACATTATTATTGTAAGTTAACTAAATACTACTCCTTTCGTAACATTCATATCTTCCCTCTTTCTTTTTTTGGACCTAACATTTATATCTTCCAATTTCTAAATCTTCTCATCATACCCTCAATAATTTAAAAAATAATACACTATTACAATTACTTTTTTGGATTTATCTTCCAATCTCAGAACTCTATTTCATTATTTTCCTATCATATCCTCAATAATTTATATTTCTTTTCACTATTCTTAGTCTCACCCACTTTGGAAGTGGGAAGATATATGTGATACGGAGGGAGGGAGTATCTAATTACTCCTTATTATACTTTTCAAAACCTTTAAACGGCGGAGAGCAACTAGCGTAGCTTCGTGATAATCTTTTTTTTGTGATAATCCTTTTAATTGATAATCCTTTTTTTTAATTGATGGGGCACCAATCATTTAAGAGTCAACGGTTACATTGTGTGCTTTTACACTTATTTTAAACTTCCAGCTTAAATGTGAAGACTATTAGACGAAAACGGAGAATCAAAGTAAATTAACCACGCCCGCGTATATGCTCTTTAAATAAAGAGAATTTAAAACATACTCCCTATAATCCAATGAAAGTTTCCTCGCTTTTGGCTGGCATTTTGAGTTAACCTTTTTTCACACACATCGTATTTTTCATTATCTAATCAAATAAAAGTTGATTGCCAGCTAATCTAATCATGAATCACTTTCTTTTCACTCGAATCCCGAAAAAATAATGAA